AAGCTAAACTGTTTTTAGAGATAAAACTCTTTACATCCGATTATCATGAAAACAAATCTCAGGGAACGATTTAGTCTGTACCAATGTGTTATTACACCCGAGGTTCATTTTGCGCCGGAGTTCTCCTTTAAGTGGAGCTTTAATCCTCCAGCAGGTTCACATCATGGTGGGGTTTGGGAGCGGGTTATCCGCATGGTGAGAAGGATTCTCAGTTCAGTTCTTCAACAGCAGATCCTGAACGATGATGCGCTTCATACAGTTATGTGTGAAGCTGAAGCCATCCTAAATGATCGGCCTATCACCAAACTCTCAGACGATCCAAATGATTTGGAGCCACTTACTCCCAACCACATTCTTCTGATGAAAGGAAATCCATCATTGCGGCCAGGATTGTTTGAGCCACATGACTTGTATTTAAAACGCAGATGGAAGCAAGTTCAGTATATTGCTGAACTTATTTGGAAACGTTGGGTACGGGAATATCTACCCTTGCTGCAAGAGAGGCAAAAATGGAATGAAATCAGGAGAAATCTAAAGCCTGGAGATATTGTCGTTATTATGGATCCTACTGCCCCACGAGGCTCTTGGCCACTGGGAAGAGTGTTGGAAGCTTTCCGGGATCAAAAGGGATTTGTGCGTTCAGTGCGTCTGCAAACAAAGTCTAGTGTCATTCAACGTCCTGTAACAAAGCTCTGCCTGTTGCTTGAGGCTGCAGGTTAAATGGGCAATTTCAGTGTTAATGTGTGTGAACTCACTGTAACTAAAATGTTGGATAATATGTTACGACAGGTTGGTAATGGCTCCTTAATTTGTTTTGTTTTGAATTGTAATGTTTGTTAACCATTCCAATTGGAGGCCGGTTGTGTAAGAGCCATTTCAATGTTTATGTCCAGGTTTGGCCAATAGGTGGCACTAGCTATTGGGGCTCATCTACTTAGGAGGGTAGCTGTAATCAGGGACAGGTGTTGCCAGAGGGGAAAGGGCCAACTAGTTTTTGACCGCCACCGAGGCTGTGGTTGGATGCTTGATACTGTGACAGTGTTGGTGAAGATGGAATATTGTTCCGTTATGGAAGATAAAAACCTTGTGTAAATCCAATAAATCATATATCTCACGGCAGAGAAGAAAACAGAACTTTAACTCTTGTTGCATTATTACTGAATCAAAAACGACCACGTCAAGCGCGTCAACTAGCCTACTTCAACCCTCTGCATAACCCTCAGCTTAGGCTTAGCGGTTACAGGCCTATACAGGGATATTGGTACAATTTGCTGAGAAAACTATTTGATTGAACACACACACACACGCAAATCATTTTTTCACGTAAAAACGCACAGTTTTGTGGCCCCGGAAAATAACCGGGAGTACTTTATTGAAAAACTTCCAGCGGCCAGAACTCTGACCAGGGAGGTGACAGCAGAGTGGGTCAGTGTGTATGCATATAGTGCTGGTAAGGATTGCATACAACTTTATGTCTTAAATGGGCGAACTAACCCTAACCCTCTGGGGTTCTTCGGACCAAATGGACCCGAAGAATTTAAATAAAAAAATGTGTAAAATCATAGCTTCATCGGAATGGTCTGAAATTTGGTGACTTTGTTGGTACTTGGTATATGAACACCCAAAAAAATTGGGGACAGGATTTGAATAGTCTAAGTGGTCGTAAAAAAAATGGTCACACTCAGGGTCTTCGGGTCCAAATGGACCCCCATAGGAAATGAATGGGAAATTGACAAAAATGTGACAATACAGAGTTGTTTTGTGCGTACAATCAACAAATCAGCCACGATCCAGAAAAAAAGCACACAACAGTGAAGGGGTGAATCTATAAAACATCAAGAGTGCAAAACAGACACATCCACACACACACACACACACACACACACACTTTTATACACAAACACACTAATAAATTCAGATTACATAAATATGTTTTGAATTTTTAAAAATCACAGCTTCATCGGAATGTTACGAAACTAGGTGACTTTTATGGTATTAGGTATGTGAACAAACAAAAAATATTGAGGTCATGATCCAAGCATGCTAAGTGGTCGTCACACTTCTGCTCTTTGGTCAAAAATGACCCCCATAGGAAATGAATGGGAAATTCTCAGAGTTTTTTTTTTTTGCATACAATCTACAAATCAGCCAGGATGCAGAAAAAAGGACTCAACAGTGAAGGGGTGAATCTCTAAAACATCAAGAGTGCAAAACAGACACACACACATACACACACACACACACACACACACACACACTGTATTATATATTTATAATAATCTGTATTATAAAGTAAAACTGGCACTTCAAATTACCATTTAAACCAAACAAACAAACAAAAAACAATACAAAAATAGTCTTTGAGAATCTGTTATTATATTTTAAAATCAACAACCTGAAAAAAATTGTCAAAGATGTGCAAAACTCACAAGAATTCTGAACCCTTTCTACAGAGAGCTGTAAATCCACTAGTGGTAAAAATGTGCTATTGCGTGATAAAAATGCTCAGTGTGTCCAGCAGATGGCATCCATCTCATTTCAAAAATTGTTTTCATGAGGCCTAGGCTTGACTCTAAAATGAAATACAGCTTTAAAAAAATATATATAAAAAATACATATTTATAAAAAAATTATATTATATTCAATGGGAAAAAATGGGTCATAATTATTGCATAAATATTAATTATAAATCATAAAATTTTCTCAAAACACCAAAAAATAAAAGATTTTTTTTTATAAAAAACAAGTAAAAAAAAATATATATGATTTTCTTTTAATAAATATGAATCAAACCCTTCCGGACCATTTGGTCCCGAAGACCCTGAGTGTGACCCTGAAATGAAGGACCCCAGAGGGTTAAAATGTGTATTTAGTTATGGGAGTGGCATATGTTGTGTTGTTTGGGCTGAGCTCCAGCACACACGCGTTGACCCGCGGCGTTCACAATCCCAGCCGACGCTTCGACGCTTTGCTGATGCTGATGTTTTGTTTGAGCACATTCCCCTCGCACAAAGCTTCAGGAGATCAGCTCCAGCTTTCACAGAGAAACCAAACACTACTGAGAGCAAAGCTGTGCAATGAATCTCTCTTAGAATAACATTCATCAGTGCCATTAAACAAGTAAGATTTAGTTTGAAAGAAATTAACTTCCTAACAATCTAAAGTTGTCTGTAGATTTGAATAATTTTTCTCAAAACTTAAAGAAACACATTCTTGATAACCAGCTGTGTCAGCATCAGCATATTTAAAATGTACAAATGTAATTTTTAAAGTAAATGTTTTTGACTTTGTTGTATATATAGGCTGTGATGGTCTTTTGATTAGTTCTTTCATCTTGAACATCTGATTGTTTTTAAATGACCATTGTTGGACTAATATTATATGTACTTGCTAGTACTAATGATAGTTATTTTGTAATCTAATGTTGTAAATATTGTGTGTACCTGCCCGGGGACTGCAGATGAAAATTAGCTCCGGCTAACTCTGGTACAAAACATCTTTTCGTAAGATTAATGTATTTTGTACGTTGTCCCTGATAAATAAATAAAGTTTAAAAAAAAAACGAAAAAAAAAACGATTTTGTTTAGCAAGGATGCATCAAACTCAGTGTTCAAATAAATGCTGTTCTTTTGAACCTTCAGTGCAGCAAATAAAAATGATCCGTTTCAACAAAAATATGAACTGTTTTCAACACTGATAATAATCATAACTGTTTCTTGAGCATCAGATCCTCATATTAGAGTGATTTCTGAAGGATCATGTGACACTGAAGACTGGAGTAATGATGCTGAAAATTCAGCTTTGATCACAGGAATAAATTACACTTTACTATATATTCACATAGAAAACAGATGATTTACGTTATAAAAATATTTCACAGTTTTTCTGTATTTATTATCACATAAATGCAGCCTTGTTGAGCAAAAAAAAACGTCATAATTCATATTTAAACGTGCATGAACTACTTGTTGAGCATCACATAGTATTTGTGATTTGTTAATGTGTTACTTTGGGCTGTAACTTTGGGCCAAAAGTTCTCGACGCTCCGATGGTTTTATAGCCGGTCTGGTGTTAATAACAGAGTGCGTTTGTTTGTTTAATGTTTGCATTTCTTGGAAGCGCTGACCCTGCTCTTTGCACTGTGAACATCTGTAGAGTCAGCGCTTCAGTTTAAAATGACTCAAACATTGGACAGTCCTGCGCAGGCAGTCAAGGGTCATTACCATTAACATCTCAGAACTAATTAGAAATTAAAATTTCATGCAAAGCCTTGCTATGTGTGGTTGCTGACTGTAGCGTGTTTTGGGTGATGTGGACTCTCTTTTAGTGTTCGTTTATGGACATTTTATGTCTTTTTTAATCAGATCCCTTGGAACCTCCTATTTTTTCCATTCATTTCTTCCATAGGGATTTCAAAATAGTAGCATTATAAACCATGAATCTCGTCTGCGAGGAGAATCACAACATTACATACTTTGATTTGTTGGAAAAAAAGTATTTTTCAGTGAGAAGAACTACAATCCCATGAAGCATTGTGAACGACATAATCGAATTAAAAACGATGTAGAAACACAAAACTAATTTAAAAACGCTGAATAAAAACGATCTATTTCAAGTTTATTGCACAATATGCATTTATATATTCAAATATTTAACTATTTGAGAGTGTACAGAGACTGACTCGATTATGTAATTCGCAGTGCATCATGGGAGTGGGCGGAGCTAAAGAGATCTTTAGGCTCGTTTAACTTTTTTCGACTCTCTGATTGGTGGAATTTTCTGTACAGCATTATGGGTAATGTAGTTTTTCACCATGAATTCTGCTGTTAAACATGATTATTTTAAAACTAAGTCGAAATAATGCTTGAAGTTTCCTGAGATATGAAATATATGAGCAATGCAAAGCTCTTTAATCATATGCTCTGTATCGAAATTGTGTCCCAAATGACGCACTATTCACTTATACACTATAACATATAACATTCGCTCCTCATTTGCAGGACGCTACTGCGAGGTGCACCAGATGACTGGGAATTACATGTGGGATAAGGACACCATGAAGGAATTCCTGATCGGAACCAATCCGGACAGCCGGTTACCCCTGTGGTGGGACGGGTCCGAGCCGCTGTGGGTCACCATGCAGAAGCTGGGGAAGAGAGTCTACATGTACTACTGGCCAGGTCAGTATGCCATCAATCGAGTACAATGTGGGACCAGGGTTATTCAAATTAACTAAAACTATATATAAATATACAGTAGTCAACATTTGAAGTGGATCAAAACCTTTCATCAAAGTTATATACATGAATTTTGAACTTTTTTGATCCACTTCAAATGTTGACCATTGTATATATATATATATATATATAAACTTTTTTTTTTTTACTTAACATAAAATAAATGTTAACCCAAATTATTTCTTTTAAACCCTTAAATTTCAAATTTTTATTGATTTTACTTGGATATATTAAAATAACTAAAACTGAAATCAAAATAAAAACTATTTAGGCATATTAAAAAAATTACAAAAACACAAAACTAAATTACTAAAACTTTAACAGAAAATATAAAAAACAAATAAAAACTAATTCAAACTATTAATAAAAACTATAATAGTATCTCAGTTATTCATAAGTAAATGGGTCAGTGAAAGTCAGTTTAGTCAAATTAATATTAAATATGAGCTATTTTAATGTGTGTTTATTTGTGAAGTGCTTTGAAACGCTACTTTTAAAGGCGATATAGAAAATAAAGTTTATTATTATTTTGATATGTTTTTAACATAAGGTTTGCAACCCCTGATTTGTGTGATATTGACTTGTTGGTTTGTAGTTATTTTTATATTGTAAAAAAAAAAATTTGATTAAAGAAGATACTTGCTGCTATTCTGTTGAAAGGGTCTTAATGATGTCACTTCCTATTTATCACACGCTTATGAAATGTTTATTTTTTAATAGCCAAACATCTGGCCATGCGAAGTTAAATGCGACTATAAAATCGGGTTTAACTGCAAAATAAACTGCTGTTCAAATGCATGCATTTATTCGATGAAAAATACAGGAAAAACAGTGAAATATTATTATAATGTAAAATATCTATTTTCTATGTGAATATACAGTAAAGTGTAATTTATTCCTGTGATAAAGCTGAATTTTCAGCATCATTACTCCAGTCTTCAGTGTCACATGATCCTTCAGAAATCACTCTAATATGAGGATCTGATGCTCAAGAAACAGTTATGATTATTATTAATGTTGAAAACATTACAAAACGTTCATATTTTTTTGTAGAATCCGTGACACATTTTATTTTTCAGGATTTTTTGATCAATAGAAAGTAAAAAAAAAAAGCATTTATTTGAAATAGAATCTTTTGTAACATTATAAATGCCTTTACTGTCAATTTTGATCAATTTAAAGCGTTATTGCTGATATAAGTATTAAAAAATGTTACTTCCTCCTTGTTTAATCAGTGTTCCTCGTTTAAAAGCTGCTCCTGTTGCTGCTTTACATCACAACAAGCTTGCAACGTTTTCAAGCGAAGCTTTCAAAAGATCTCTCTTTGATCTCTCTCGAATGGATATTAACACATTAATATGCATATTATCAACATATTATTATGTGTGTTTCTGTCCGTTCAGGTTGTGAAGTGACGATTCTTGGAGTCAAACCTTCGTTCTGTGAGGAATACGTGTACAATCCTTCAGAGAAGAACCTGACCGACGCCATGGAGAACGCTCTCAATATGTTAAAGTAAGAGCACAAGACGACCTATCATGCTTTTTTCTCCATCTTCATCTTCATCTTCATCTGTCTTCAGTGTGTAATGTTGGAGTTTGATCATGGGTTCTTCTCTATATCAGTGTCAGTGTTTCTGAACTCCTAAAACGCCTCCATTGTAGTCTTGAGTTTCTCCCGGGAACGAACACGTCACAATATTCCTCATTATAATAATTCATGCGCAGAATAAAGGGGCGGGGCCTGGTTGAGTTAGTTAGTAGTGTGTTAAACTGGTGGTTATGGGAAGGGGCGGGACTTTCCCAAACACACTCGAAGCGCTCGGCCAAACACAGCACACTGATCCAGCCGACCAATCAGAGCACAGTGTGCTTTTCAGAAGGAGGGGCTTCATAGAGACAGGAAGTAAACAGAGCGTTACTGACAGACTGGGAAGAGAGGAGCCGCAACATTGGAGAATATGAGGAGAATAATCAACATTCAAGCAGGAAAACCTGTTCTAGTAGAGCCTAAAATCAACATTAAGGCATACGTTTTTTAGCTTTTAGTATGAATATGTTAGCCTTAAGGTTATGAATAAGCTGGTGTGTTCCAAAACAATGGACTTCAGCTTCTGTCCAATCAAATGCTCTCTAGAATCTAAAGCTCCGCCCCCTTTGCTATAAACACCACCTGGCCGAAGCGGAGCAATATGTGTGTCAGATGTGTGTTCGGGTGCTCAAACACTCGAGTTTTATAGCGTTTTCCAACTGTACGCTGGTTAAGAATGAAATGGCTAGAATTTATTCACATCTCTACTATTGAATCCAACGTTTCATCAGCGCTCGGACTTCAATGGTGTTGTCCATAGATATATACACTAGATGCCGCCTTGGCTACGGCAGTTCATTGGAACGAATGCGTCAATAGAGCCGCCATCTTGGAACAGTGGAGCCCCTCCTCTTTAAAGCAACACTAAGCAAGATTTTTTACCTTAAAATAATGTTTCCAAAATGGTTTCAGTGGTTCATCAAGTCGTAACAGGGTGAAAGGCACTTCTGGATTCACTTTGCGGTCCTATATCTGCTATAACCACGCTATGTAAGATTGCCAGATCGGGTCGCGTTTCTGTAGTTCTAATGAGACATAAGAAAACTACAAATTTGACTTGCTTTACATCAAGCGTTACAATAGTCATTATTTTGTTTTTCTTCGTTTCTGATGTCGCAATACATCATATTTTCATGAAATCATGCAACATTACCTTGTCTGTGGACATCGTTCACTCCAAAGCCGGCGCTGGATAAACAGTGAGCGTGCGCGTGCGACAGTCGGCTGCGCTAGGCTAAAGTATTTACCACAGCGGTAATGGACAATTCCACTTCCAACCTGTAGGGCGACCGCTGAGGAAAAGTTACTTGGTGTTGCTTTAATGTATAAGCGTCAATTCTAACAGAAATAAAATCACCATAAATGTCATGAATGCGATTTTCTAGTTTTTTTGGTTTGTTCCAATGGTCAGACATGTATTTATCATTGAGTCCAGAGAAAAAAAAAGTAAAAAAAACAAAAAACATTCTTCCTAGTTCAGATTTCGTTCGTGTGAACATCCATACGCAGCACAAAAGTCCAAAAAACCATGAATTCGAAGTACAAGCGGAGATAGCAGCGTTAGCTACTTCCTATGCCAAGACCCCTGTTCCAAGATGGCGGCGGTTTTGACGCATGCTTATAACCATAGATATCCATAATAAAGGCTAGATGTCTCGTCCGCGCACCTGGCGGCCATCTTGCCACAGGCAGCTCGCTCACTCGTTACATTGTGTTTTAATGGTGCATGTACTTTTTAAATAACCATAACTTGCTCAATTTTCTACCGATTTTCAAACGGTTTGGTTTGTTATAAACGTCAGAGATGTAGTTATGACACTGCATACTTATGAATAATAAGTGTATCAATAAATAATCATCCAGAATTATAGCCACGTTAATAACGTTTGTAAGAAACCAAACCGTTTGTAAATCCGTCAAGATTTCACCGAGATAAGAGTATTTGTGTTCGTGCTGATCACTCATCTTACATCAGGCACCACAGAGCCCGCCAGAAAGCTTGCCTGTGACAAGATGGCCGCCGGTGATGACGATAGAGACTCCACCGTAAGACATCCAGCCTTTATTATGGATATCTATGCTTATAACCGCAATGCGACATCTACTGTATATATCTATGGGTGTTGTCAAGTACGACTTGCAGTCTGTGAGGTAAACTTAACGCTATTGGCTAATTTGAAAAGGGGGAGGAGCCATTCAATATGTCCCGCCTTATCTTCCTGTTTTCAATTCATCAAAGCTTCTATAAGGGACTTCAGTGGGACTTTAAGTGTGTTTGTTATTATCTGATGATTTGCTTTGAATGTTTCCAACAGGAGCAATAAAGCAGACATGGCTGCTATTTACTATGAGAAGATTGATGTGGAAGGGCATCACTTCGGCCCTGGCTCTCCTGAACTACAGCGGGCCGTTCGCTCCCTGGATCAGGCCCTCCAGACACTCAACCAGAAAATCAAGGTATTTTTAACAGGGGTGAGAGAATGGAAGAACATTTTGAAGATCTGAAACACGTTTGTTTGTTCGTCAGGAGAAGAGCATGAGAGATGATGTGAACGTGGTGCTGTTCTCGGATCACGGCATGACGGAGCTCGAGTGGATGGAGAAAGTTATCGAGCTGGAGAACTTCATTGACATGTCACAGGTTATTAAGATGATGGACAGGGGGCCGGTGGTCAATCTGTGGCCCAAACAGGACAAGTTTGAGGAGGTGCGCTCAGCCTGTCGGTGCTTTACATCACACTCGTGTTTACCAGTGACGACAAGGCCCAAACAGCCCTCGCTTAAAACAAACAAACAAACAAACAAACAAACAAACAAGCGAATACAAGAGCTCAAAACATTTTGGTGTTTAGTATGAGCTTCAGTGGCTTAAACCGACTTTGTGTGTGTGTGTGTGTGTGTGTGTCAACTCAGATATATCAAAAATATAAAATAATATACAGTTTTTTACAATCACTTTGCTACTATTTTCAGAACCTTGATGTCATTTTTCAAAACTCTAGACACAAAACTCAAAACGATAATCACTTGTAACACAGGCTGTCTAATGTTCAAAACATTGCATTGTGCATCACATCTTTAAAGAAATCTTGCACTTGCACAATCATTGGTTCAAAAAACAAATTTACTGTGAAATACCATTGAAACATAACTATAGATCACCCACACACAAGCAACCGATAGTTTCACTGTGTCATTGTTCGTACAATCATTAAATATTGTAGCGCAAAATAGGTGATACAGGTTTCATTATGGTCTACATGTACAGTAAATACATCTCTGTAAAAGCACTGCAGTAGTAGAGAGAATACACACATAGTGGAATCACTGAACAAAGTGTGTAATATTGATGCAAAACACTACAGTGCAATCACAGGTTTATTGGAATCAAAGCAAAAATATGATAAATATTACTGTAGGCTATCCATGGATATTGTAGTCTAATTGGTTCATGCTCCACGCTAATTGGTGACAATGAATCTCATTATCTTGAAACTTTCATGATTTACTGTAAACATGGAAGATTGTGTGTCTGTTTCCATACAACTATGCATTAAGAGTAACGCAACAGTTACTTATCATTTTGAGCAGTTGTATCAGTTGATAGTTAGATCACTGTAAGGAAATGAATAGACACTCATTTGAAATGTAATGTGTGAATTGCCTTTTGAAATAGTAGTACTTTGATGTTAAGTTGTGTCATATTGAACAGGTGATCTTTGTTGAATGAACAAATGATCTAAGTTTTATGTGTATTGTATCCAAGCAATTGAGAAAAGGGTTAGAGTTTTGAAAAATGTGCTTTTTGATCATTGGTTGTGAGTTTTGTGTCTAGAGTTGTGAAAAATGGCATCAAGGTTCTGAAAATAGTAACAAAATGATTGTAAAAAACTGTAATATTACACAACTCTCACAAAAATCTCATTCTCATTACTACAGTGGATTTTTTTTTTTATTTAAATAATAAAATATTTATACATGGTGGAATTTCATTAATAATATAATATAGATTATGAAATCACTCTTCAAAATAATGGGAAATACAAGAGCTCAAAACATTTTGGTGTTTAGTATGAGCTTCAGTGGCTTAAACAACTGTGTGTGTGTGTGTCTGTGTGTGTGTGTGTGTGTCTGTGTGTGTGTGTGTCTGTGTGTGTGTCTGTGTGTGTGTGTGTGTGTCTGTGTGTGTGTGTGTGTGTGTGTGTGTCTGTGTGTGTGTATGTGCGTGTGTGTGTGTGTGTGTCTATGTGTGTGTGTGTGTGTGTGTGTGTGTGTCTGTGTGTGTGTGTGTGCGTGTGTGTGTGTGTGTGTGTGTGTGTGTGTGTGTGTGTGTGTGTCTATGTGTGTGTGTGTGTGTGTGTGTGTGTGTCTGTGTGTGTGTGTGTGCGTGTGTGTGTGTGTGTGCGTGTGTGTGTGTGTGTGTGTGTGTGTGTGTGTGTGTGTGTGTGTGTGTGTGTGTGTGTGTGTGTGTGTGTCTGTGTGTGTGTGTGTGTGTGTGTGTGCGCGTGTGTGTGTGTGTGTGTGCGTGTGTGTGTGTGTGTGTGTGTGTGTGTGTCTGTGTGTGTGTGTGTGTGTGTGTGTGTGTGTGTCTGTGTGTGTGTGTGTGTGCGCGTGTGTGTGTGTGTGTGTGTGTGTGTGTGTGTGTGTGTGTAACCTCAGATCTATCAGAACCTGAGCGCAGTGAACAACATGGATGTGTATAAGCAGCCGGAGATCCCGGAGCGCTTCCACTACAGGAACGGGCGGTTCGTGTCGACGCTGACGCTCGTGGCCGAGCCCGGCTGGTTCATCACCGAGGTCAGACACATCCTTCTGTCCACTATGGGCTTGCTTTATGATTTAACCAAATGGAGATGTAGATATCTATGCTATAGTGTCACTATAGTGAAGTGAATCAATCTAAACTAACTTTATCTGGACAATAACTTTATTCTAGAGCTGCTGTAACGCCTAAACACTCTCTGTTACTGTAATCTCCTGTTATCACTGTAAAGCTGCTGTGAAACTCTATATAGTTAACAGCGCTGTATAAATGAAGGAGACCTGACGTATTTGTGCTTATCTGCGCTATATTCAACTTTCACCATCCGTTCCTGCAGGATCTGGAGTTTTCCACATATCCACTTGTGATCCGTGTAACTGTTGCTCTTCACGTGTCGCTCAAAAATGACCGAATGTTTTTTTTTTTTTTTTTTTTTGTCAATTAAATGAATGTACTATATTTGATTTGATGTTTTTTTTTTTTTTTTTACAATTTGTATTTTTAGGGAATTTTTTTTAATACTAAATTATATTTTCGCTGTATTTATAATCCATTTGCAATAGTCCTCCGTCCCAATCCAGCCATTAAATTCCCAACTTAAACTGTGGTGAATCTTGGATGCTCTGGATGAAAAGACTGAAGTTTGGTCTCTTCTCAAAGACGACACTCGGCAGATTATTGCTGAAGTGAAAAAAGTTTAAAAAAAAGAGAAATTTTACGTGTATTGTTATGAAAAATGCACAAAAATACGATTATATATTTTTAATATGAAATATATATTTTCAAAATCATGTTTTACTCTAAAACTGCAAGAAAATCAAAGCCAAGCACATTTGAGCTTGATCTCTCAGTAAAGGAGCGTTCAGTGAGAGTGTGTTCGGCTGCAGTTCCACACGCGTCCACTAGAGGAAACTCTCCATTCGTTTCTAATGCGTAATTTCCGACCGCGAGCAGCACAAGTGGGACTATTTTTACAGGACCATTAAACCTGTTCGAATCATATCCATGATTTTTTTGTGTGTTCACACAGCAAGTGCCAAAACCTTTACCAAGTTTCGTAACAATCCGATGAAGAAAAAAATTCTAAAAAAATATTTTTCGGTCCGAGAGCACCAGAGGGTTTTATGTTGCTTTTGTACAATACGACCTCTGACAGAATGTCTTCAGTCATGAATGACTCAGTCTTGCATATAAAGCCCCATTTCACCCAGAAACAACAGTCTTCCTCTTGTGTGCTTGCCTGATATAACAGATCATCTCACTGATGCGTCATTCCATCACTACCAAAACATCAACGCCCCTCCATGACCCTGAGCTGGATAAGAGAGAACACACACACACACACACACACACACACACACACACCCACACACTGATTTCTGCCTGTCTCCGCAGAGTAAAGCCAAACTGCCCTTCTGGAAGAACGGCACGACAGAAGCGGAGGGATGGCAGCACGGATGGCACGGGTACGACAACCAGTTTGTGGACATGAGGGGATTCTTTTTGGCACAAGGACCAGGTGAAGTTCATAAATAATAAATAATACTGTATTTAAAAAAAAAAAATTTTTGTAAATAAATGCAATAATACAATACAATTAAAATAATTAATATATAAAAGTTTTTTTTTTTTTTAAATAGTGCCGTCATATATATGTGTGTGTGTGTGCGCGTCTATTATATAAACAAACATTTATGCGATTAATAGTGATTAATCGATTTGACAGCACTATTTTTAATATTTTCTTTTAAATAAATACTTTAATATTTTAATTATTTTAATTTAATTGTATTATTGCATTTATTTTATTTGCATAAAAGTTTGTGTTTAACACAAACTTTTATGTTAGATGCAATTTATCGCGATTAATCGATTTGATAGCACTAAAAAAAATATTATTTTTATTGAAATTTTTAAATATAAATAATATACACTACCATTTATTTTTTTGGAAGAAATTAATACTTTTATTCAGCAAGGATGCATTAAATTGATCAAAAGTGACAGTAAATACTCTGTATAATTAATATTGTTAATGATAAAATATTAAATACAACTAAAATATTTAAAATATAAAATAGAAGTATTAATTTAAAATAAAATATAAAAAATATATTTACCATTTATTTTTAATAACCTTTTTATTTATTTATATTTTAACCATGAAAATGTTTACCTTTTTTTGGAGGAAATTAATTTTTATTCAGCAAGGATGCATTAAATTGATCAAAAGTGTAACGTTTATAATGTGACAAAAGTGTCTATTTCAGATAAATTTTGTACTTTTGATTAATCAAAGAATCTGTATCACAGTTTCCACAGAAATATGCATCAGCACAACTGTGATAATAATCATAAATCCTCATATTAGAGTGATTTCTGAAGGATCATGTGACACTGAAGACTGGAGTAATGATGCTGATAAATTCAGCTTTGATCACAGGAATAAATTACACTTTACTATATATTCACATAGAAAATAGCTGATTTACATTATAATAATATTTCACTATTTTACAGCATTTTTGATCAAATAAAAGCTCAGCCCTGGTGAGCAGAAGAGACTTTTAAATGCCAGTGTGTATTTATTTTATATTGTTATTATAACATAATAATTGTTATATAAATAAAACAATTTTAGTCTTGTAACTCATCAAATGATCATTATGATGTTTCTCTCTCTCCAGACTTCAAGACGAACTTCCGCGCCGGCCCCATGCGAACAGTGGATGTGTATAATGTGTTGTGTAAGACGCTGGGGATCGAAGCGCAGCCGAACAACGGCTCCTGGTCTCGGGTCGAGTGTATGATGAAGAGCTCGGCTTCTGCCGTTCGAGTCGCTTCGACCTCCGTATGCCTGATGATGATGATGATGATGATGATGATGCACTAGAATATCTGGGAACACAACATCAGAGACAGGAAACACTGATTTTATGCCTTAGTGTGCGCCATAGGCTCAGATAAATGCCAAGAAAACCCATTTTTGCTGCACTGCCTCTATTTTTGAGTTGAAGAAATTATGTTGTTGGATAAACCAATTTGCACATTTTCACTGACATTCGACCTGAGGTCAAAGATTTATATTTTTAGTAAAATATGAGCTTTTATTATGTAATTTCATTCCTTTTCTCCATCTGTTGTTTCTGTCTTTACACATTTATTTTATTTTCTGATGACTGTAAAATGGCTAGTGTGTCCTCTCTGTCAAGATGTGTGCTGTTTTGAATGTAAGGCGTTGTATTGTTATTATTTGTTTCATTTCTATAACTTTATAGAATTATAACATTATAGATTATCCATTTTCCTTTAGTACGGGGTTTGACTTTGTACTCATTTCTTTCACAATAAAATATCTTCTCAAGACTCAAAGTTTTTTGTTATTTTACTACTACATTTGTTCTTTCACATTCTACTCAGTATGTGATGTTTTTATTGTGATTTACTCGGGGACTCTTATTCTGTATTATGTGCTTTTACAGCAGCGTTTGACAAAGGCAAACTGTGAGCTCTCTCGCCCCCTGCCGGTCTGTCCGTGAACTTCAATGAGCTCACATAATATTTTCAACTTTATTTTTCACCTCTTCTACTTTATGTATTTATTTATTTATTAAATAATTTTAATGATGAGTTTCTCTTAAGGTTTTAGTTCATATTTTTGAAGACTTGACTTTGAATAAACTTTGAACACATTGACGACGATCGTTCTGTATTATAAGCGTGTGTGCTGCAGTTTTCGCGCTCTTTAAAGCAAGATGGATTCTGATTGGGTGTCAATGTTTATCGTTCATCAGCGGGAAAAAATCATAGGAAAAAATCCGTTATTATTGTTACAGTTTTGGTGTAGACTCTGCTATTCTATTATATTTAAAACTATTTTAGAACTAAATATTTTTAGACAGAAATTATTTAAACAAACATTTGATGCGTTATTTATTAGCTTTTTATGTGTTGTACACATAGACTGTAAAAAAATAGGTTGTACAGTAGACTTGTTTTCTTGGTGATGATGAATAATGTTCAAGATGGACAGAAGGTGGCGCAAAAGACCTTTTATTTAAGTCTTTAGCAAACATATAGTGTGACGTGAGTTGAGTAGGCTAATATTAATTAACAGCACTTACTATAGTCTATAGGGTTAAGGTTTGGTTTAGTTGCATCATGTAATTATGCATAATTTACTTTATTACCACAATAAGCAAGTATTAATGTAAACATTTTTTTTAGTAAACATAACACTTGTAAAAAGTACCACAGTTTTCTTTTCAGATTTATACCATTGTATTGAAAGTAATTAATCTTTTTTCGTGTGTTAAAATAATAATTTTAAAGATTTTATTATTAGTATTTTGTGATTATGTATCGGTGTGTCCGCAATAAACAGACACAAAGTAGGCCTATGTTATAACCAGTCTGGGTCATGGATTTATAAAAATTTCAGTTTAAGCAGGCATTTCAATGTTGTTTGGATCCATTGTGTGTGATTTATGGCCTACTCGAGTTTCCATAGTCGCTGTTTCTATTCATATCCTACTACGGCAAGGACTTTTCTTATGAATATTAATCAGATAATGCTGACGTTGCTTGGTAACCTTCCGCTAGTTTCTAGTCAAGTGCCTAATTATTATTCATGAGGCAATTCTTACTCGCTCATTCGCCAACAGACTACCGCCTACGCACCAACGGCCAATCATTCCGCGCCATTCAGCATACGTCACGTTGCGTAATTAATATTCATTCAAAACTCCTTTTCCATAGTAGAACTCGCAGATTCGCCACTCGAGAGGCAGCTGGGGATCTAAGCAGGACTGAGATTGCGATGGATTGACAATAAGTTATTTATTTCTCACATTTTGGACAAATCGCGGTGGATATAATGACAGTACTTCAGAGTGTTTACATCTTTATCTCACCTTTAAGGCTTTAGAGTTAAAGCCGTCGCGCGATGATGCCTCTCCGTTGTTTGTATTCACGTCATCGGAGCTAAACGCTCCTCGAGATGTTTTGATATATTTGGATGATGATATTTGTTTTTGACGGCCTTTGTGTGTAGACCTGATGGGAACATGTATGTAGGATTTGAATCAGCAGCCTTTTAAGCTGAGCCCGCTCGGTGAACTGATCTGACCGATCATAATTTCAGGTGCTCTTGCTGTCATTTTTAAACCGTTTAGATGCAACAGTTGCACGTGTATTTCTCGTGTTAAGCGGCTCCGGATCATCTTGTGTGAATTGAATGCACACATTGTGATGAGTGTGAACTCGAGCATGCGACCTGTCTATTGCTGTGCGCACGCGAGGACATGTCATTCCCAGCATTCCCATCATTCCCATCATCAGCAGCATCATGCGTCCTGATGGCCGAAGCTCCAGCTCCAGCAGCGGGTCTGCGGTCCTCGTCTACCCGTCTCTGGTCGTCGGTATCTCGGTTGCGGTGCTCCTGCTCTTCCAGCTCGGCTCCGGAGAACTCACTCTCACCTCGTTTTTCCTCAAACTCTTTCTTTACGTGTCCTTCGCCCTGTTGTGTTTTCTGCTGGGGAGTTTCGGGCTGCTGGTGAGGAAAAGCCCCTTGAAGATCAGCAGATTCGACACCACTAAGAGACAGTCATCGAAGCTCGCGGATCTATTCAATAAGTTAATGGTAAGGAGAGGAGGATGATGGTGTCACATCACAACATCTCTACACTAACATCTACAGACAAACAACAATCCACACTTTCACTGTGATTGATTCAAATAATGTGATTAGATGGATGGATGGATAGAACAAAAGATAGATAGATGGATAAATGAATGAATGAATGGATAGATAGATGGATGAAAGATAAATAGATGGATGGAAAGATATATAGACAGACAGATAGAT